TTGATGATGTGACACAGGACAGAAGCAGCTGAATGAATTCTGAGGTGTTCAGAGACATACTGTCTGCTAAATCCAGCTAAATGCAGTCAATCTGATTGGGCCTTGTTTCATAATACAGATGGACAATGACCCAAACATACAGCCAGAGCAACCCAGGAGTTTATTAAAGCAAGTGGAATATTCTTGAATGGCCAAGGCAGTCACCTGATCTTAAACTAAGTGAGTGTGTCACGGACCCGGCTCTGGGGACTCGGGGTCCGTGGGCAGTGGGGACTGTGACTGTTATTGTTATTATTATTATTATTTGGTGTGTTGTCTGCACTGCCCCTATGCACATCTGTATGTAGGCAGGTATGTGTGTGTGTTTTGCCTTTCTGCTGTGGCCAAGTTACAGGCACCTTCAGCCCTGGGGGCGTGGTCTAACTTGAGGGCTGGCCACACCCGAAGTCCTGGCCGCACACCTGCTCCTCATCAGGGCTCGTCGGGGGAGCTATTTAGATGAGTGATGGAGCTTCCACCGACGCGGGATTATTGCGTTTGACTACACGTCAGTCTTCAAACAAGTCAAGTGTGAGTGTATGCCTGCTGGGATAAGTGTTAACGGCTGCCTCTATTGTTTTCCCCTCAGGAGGAGTGTGGGACGAGAAGGAGCAGTGAGCACGGGGAGTGCAGGGACACTGGGGCAGAGAGCACTACACGGGGACTTATGGGAAGAAGACACTACACGGGAGTCTGGGAAACTGGGGATTTATTGTTGTTTACTTCACCACCTTGTAAATAAACACTGTTGCACTGAAGAGTCCGGCGTTTGGGTCCTATTTCCCCATCTCCCCACGGTCTGCCAGCCAGACCGTGACAGAGTGTGCATTTCAGTTGTTGAAGACTAAGCTTCAGACGGGGCCGCAAACAAACATCAACCGAAAGTCACTGAAGTAAAGCCTGGCAGAGCATTAAAAAGGAGGAAACCATGAGTTCAAGACTTCAGGCTGTCAATGCCAGGAAAGGCTTTTCAACCAAGTATTAGAAACAGACATTTTCTTTTCAGTTATTGAATTTGTCCAATTACTTTCAAACCCCTGAAATTCAATTTGATTTTATTTATACAGCACCAAATCACAGTAACAGTTACCTCAAGGTGCTTTAAAAGCAGCTTGCAAGGTAAGGTAGACAATATTTAAATGAAGGGGTTGAGTTAAAACATGCTTTACTTCCTCATATTTATTTTTGATCAACCCACTGAATAAAAGCTGAAAGTCTGCACTTCAACTGCATTTGATTTGCTTCATTTAAAATGTACAGAGCCAGTATTAGAAAAAAGTTGTCCAAATATTTATGGGCTAACTGTATGTGTCCACCTGTCTTACATGCACTGTGTGAGCGGTGATCATTTGTGTGTCAAATTCCATTTTCTGTGGCTATTGTCACACAATCTGTTCACAGACCCTTTACAATCAGAGTTTCAGGGCAAAAAGCACAAAGAATACACACCAAACAGGGAGGTGTACATGTGTGAATCTAATACAGTGTGTCTATAACATAAACTGGTAACTTTTAACAAAGGTGTGTTTTTGGATTAAAACATCACAGTTTATGTGTCTACTGCATTTATATAGTCAGAAAAAGTATTATGACTGAATACAGTGATTCTTTTCCTGGTTTTTTTGTGGGGTTTTTTGTTAGTTTTGTTTTGTTTTTATAAATTCAAGGATTTCCTAAGTACTTAAAAGGAAAGATTGTTTATGTTTGACAGGCTGGAGCAGATGGGGCATGTTCTCAAAGTTTCACTCATTACATGCTATTCTCTGATTAAAAAGGTGTTTCTTTCATTTTTGTGCAGCGTATTTATATTTGTATTTAAAAATTAGCAAAAAAGTTATTAGTCCTTCTGATACTCTAGTCAGTGATAGTATCTTTAACTGTGAGCACGGTTTCAAAGAGGATCAAAGTTCTGCAGGTCCATGTGTGAAACACCCCAAAACAAAGCAACAAAACAAACAACCAAACAAATGCAGTCATTTCTGCACATTTTGTAAAGCCTAAGGTCATTGTAAAAAGAAAATCAATCTAAGGTTTTATAAGGGAGTGATAAAACAATTATGTATAGTTTTTACCAGGTTTTAAAATGAGGTAAATACAATTTGAGATGAACATTAAGTTTAACACTATGTCATAATTGATTTAATTAACAAAGACAAAATGCATAAGCAGTGTGTGAAAAGCTAATGACATCCAATGATTCAGTAGCTTGTATCCTCTCATCACCTTTCACATACTTGTGGAGCCATTTTGCCGTACTCTTCTATACAGTCACTTCAGTTTATTGAGGTTTGCAGACATTTGTTCATGGACACCTGTCATGAGGACAATAGATGGGGTCTGAACCGTGGACTATGGTAATGCCTCAGTTATACTCATATCCTTCTTATTGTAGATTTGATTAGATTGTTAATGTTTTGTGGGTTTTTTTTTTTTTTTTTTTTGCTTTCTTGTTGATGTGCTTAGGATTACTCTCCTATGAGGTCATAGTATGCTTTGTCTGGTACTGTAAATGTGTTCTTAGGTTTCCTCACACCTAAATAATAACACAGTGTAATGTGCAGAGTTTTGTTCTTGTATTGGCCCCATTTTAAAACCTGGTGAGGACCTGATTACTTTCCATTGTAACATGATACTTAGAGGGTTTTAAGTATCACAGAGCGCACTTAGCTTTTTTTTTTTTTGTACTATATATATACATATAT